TGGTGTGGGCGGCTGTAACGATTGTGAGGATCGCAGATACTGCACTAACTGTCCGGATAACTGCTATTACCGCATTGGAACTGGGTGCGTCTGCAGATGACCTCCTATCTGAGATACGTGACCCTTACATTCCCGTTGAACGGGACCTATTCATCTATTGGGTGTAAGGAACTCATAATGGTTAATTTTGCATCATTAATCTTACTTGCGATCTTTAGGCATTAGCTGTGTCCTCACACTTTTCATGAGCTCTCTGCGCCTCTGTTGAACTTCGGATGGGAGTCAACTCGGGAACTGATGATTGCCACACAGTATGTGTGTGTGATAATTCTTCAAGGCTTGACGCCTCTCATCTGTTTGTCACTCATCAGACGAGCATTTCTGGTTAATCTGGTCTACTCTTTTCTCTGTTATACTTTCGTCAGACTTCCTGGGAAGTAGCAAAGAACGCATGAGATTACAAGATATGTCTGTGACCCGTCCGATATTCGATTCTGATCTGTGACGTATACTGAAAAGTCCGTATTTTTGGAGCTCGATACACTTCATTCAGTCGTATCTCACGTACTTTAGGGGGTTTTCTTTCGGATCATAATCTTCGGTCTATTTGATAGACTCTATACCGTCACTATACCCAATATGGATACGAGTCTTAGCAGAGAAAGCGATGTTGGGTTGCACAAGAATCCTTAGCTTCGAATAAGGAGTCTGAGGAGGGCAAACTATGCTTATTATAGTTATTATAGTAACTATTTGCAGTATTACTGCAAATAGCTGCTGCACGACACATTGAGAAGCAGGGCGACATGGTTCCGGATGCTGTAAAGCTGATGCAATACGCGAAGCCTGAGGCGACAGGCCACAGTTCGTTCGATCAGCGGGTTATTTCTCCTGCAGGTTTGTTGCTAGAGCTCGGGAGCGAGCGATAGTGACAGGTCGTTCACGCTACCATCAAAACGAGGCTGTTCTCCCGTCCGAGAGGACCGTTCAGAAGTGACGAGCGTCGTGTGAGTACCGCAGTGACCGCACATATTATCGTTCGCCAGCCTGTCTGAGTTAGGCTCGGTCGAACCGACGTACGATGGTTGCTGTGACTGCGGCAGGGTCGCTCCACCCTCGTTCTGACGAAGGCTCCACTGAAATCGAGGAGATTCCAGTCGGCCTCACGCCTTTCATATCGGACATTACTGCTGTCTGGAAATTGGGATAATCACTTTCTACCTGCAGTCTATCTAGTTAATAATCTACAAGCGGTTGTATTTATACCATATTTACTGTTGTATAATGTGGTGTTTTATGGTCACTGGAGGGGAGCCAATGATTTAGTGGCCGGAATGGTGGAACGCGAAGCTATATATCTCGGAAAGTCCACCGCTACATAGCTATGGCTGTGTAGTACAACAGCCATAACACGTGTGGATCCGTAACGAGATGATATCATACTAACAGTGTAGCATGGCCACACGTTAACAGGACTCCGTACTCTACGCTGGACCGCACATTGCCCACGTAAAATCACACGGTGTGATTCACACAACTTCAGCTAATGTGGACTAGCAACCAGCTCACAAAAAACCTAACACTATATAGTATATAGTGTCAAGTGTACGGTCTATAGTATATACCGGACACTATAGCTACAACTGGCAAACTATATCGGGTATACCACACGTACTAACTGAGAGAGAAATAACAACAGATGAAAGGCGAGAATGACGAGAAAAGCAAGCTCAACGCAAATAATTTGTATTAACACCGTGGATCAGAGCTGGGGGACCCATTTACAGGAGAAGCACAGCATTTTGCTGTAACATTCCTCCTTGGCATCTGAAGGATACCAATTGACCGAGACGCAACCCAAAATGCATTTGTTGGAGAATGGCTTCAGTCTATATCTGTATAACGCAAACAAAAAAACTACCCTAAATGGCATAACAAACATCCAGATGGGGGTAATATAACATATTTGCATTGGAAGAATGATTGGTGAAAAATCAGACGGCGTATGCCGTGTATGATTTCTTTCAACCCAGCCCGCCACTCCCGGGAGCAAGCATCGGTTGGTCGACCGTGCGCGGGCTCGCATCGCCGGCACGCGCCCGCCGTACCGCAACCTTCGCGGCGCCAGCAGAGGCGCTCGTCGGACTAACTCGATGCTTCGAGCGCTGAAAGTCATCGACACCTTCTGTCTTCCAGCCCACTAGACCCAGGCGCCCAGGAGTGGGATATTTCACGGTGTATACACAGTGTGTATCACGGTGTGATACACGGTGTGTATTACACACCGTGGATCATAGCTGGGGGCGCTCTGGCGCACAGTCGCCTCCCTGCACTTGCACGAGAACAACTGTTGAACCTCGAGCATGCACGGACCATAATTCGCACAAAGCAATTGCGGAGCAAGCGAAGCAAGCGGAGCATATTCAGCAACAACAGTAGGCACTTTCTTGTTGTACGTGCGTGTATGGTGGGTTATTTCGACTCAACTACCCGAGCTTCTAGAGGCTTCAGATTGATCAAACGAGTCGTCTAATAGACGACTGCACACGTGAATCGGAGCATAGACGTCGTCTATGCGGATCCACGTGTGCAGGCCAAGCGAATCGATCGACTTCTCAGTCGCTAAACACAGGGTAACTCTTCGAGAGTTATAAGTTTTCTACGTCACATCGGCTACGGGTGTCGAGCTGCACAATAGTATACGTACCACATTAATCTTGGGAGTTTATATTTAATTTGAGTGGATCCGTCAACAGGCCCTGTGGCATAGAGTATCTCACCGTCTGCGGTTTCAGTTGTTCCCTGTCATCTTAATGCACATCGCACTTGTCATTGCGGCGGCCGTGGCTTACATGCTGCAGGCTGGTGTGGGCGGCTGTAACGATTGTGAGGATCGCAGATACTGCACTAACTGTCCGGATAACTGCTATTACCGCATTGGAACTGGGTGCGTCTGCAGATGACCTCCTATCTGAGATACGTGACCCTTACATTCCCGTTGAACGGGACCTATTCATCTATTGGGTGTAAGGAACTCATAATGGTTAATTTTGCATCATTAATCTTACTTGCGATCTTTAGGCATTAGCTGTGTCCTCACACTTTTCATGAGCTCTCTGCGCCTCTGTTGAACTTCGGATGGGAGTCAACTCGGGAACTGATGATCGTCACACAGTATGTGTGTGTGATAATTCTTCAAGGCTTGACGCCTCTCATCTGTTTGTCACTCATCAGACGAGCATTTCTGGTTAATCTGGTCTACTCTTTTCTCTGTTATACTTTCGTCAGACTTCCTGGGAAGTAGCAAAGAACGCATGAGATTACAAGATATGTCTGTGACCCGTCCGATATTCGATTCTGATCTGTGACGTATACTGAAAAGTCCGTATTTTTGGAGCTCGATACACTTCATTCAGTCGTATCTCACGTACTTCAGGGGGTTTTCTTTCGGATCATAATCTTCGGTCTATTTGATAGACTCTATACCGTCACTATACCCAATATGGATACGAGTCTTAGCAGAGAAAGCGATGTTGGGTTGCACAAGAATCCTTAGCTTCGAATAAGGAGTCTGAGGAGGGTGGAACTGTGCTACAGTGTGGAAGCTACGCATCGGTGATACAGGAACGGTCTCCGACTCGAGCCTCGACTCGAGGCCCTCGAGTGTTGAGCTTCGAGGTGAGCGCAAACTATGCTTATTATAGTTATTATAGTAACTATTTGCAGTATTACTGCAAATAGCTGCTGCTGCACGACACATTGAGAAGCAGGGCGACATGGTTCCGGATGCTGTGAAGCTGATGCAATACGCGAAGCCTGAGGCGACAGGCCACAGTTCGTTCGATCAGCGGGTTATTTCTCCTGCAGGTTTGTTGCTAGAGCTCGGGAGCGAGCGATAGTGACAGGTCGTTCACGCTACCATCAAAACGAGGCTGTTCTCCCGTCCGAGGGGACCGTTCAGAAGTGACGAGCGTCGTGCGAGTACCGCAGTGACCGCACATATTATCGTACGCCAGCCTGTCTGAGTTAGGCTCGCTCGAACCGACGTACGATGGTTGCTGTGACTGCGGCAGGGTCGTTCCACCCTCGTTCTGACAAAGGCTCCACCGAAATCGAGGAGGCTCCAGCCGGCTTCACGCCTTTCATATCGGACATTACTACGGTAATGCCCCAAATCACAGCGATTGAATTTCGATGAGGCTCTGGGAATTGGGATAATCACTTTCTACCTGCAGTCTATCTAGTTAATAATCTACAAGCGGTTGTATTTATACCATATTTACTGTTGTATAATGTGGTGTTTAATGGTCACTGGAGGGGAGCCAATGATTTAGTGGCCGGAATGGTAGAACGCGAAGCTATATATCTCGGAAAGTCCACCGCTACATAGCTATGGCTGTGTAGTACAACAGCCATAACACGTGTGGATCCGTAACGAGATGATATCATACTAACAGTGTAGCATGGCCACACGTTAACAGGACTCCGTACTCTACGCTGGACCGCACATTGTCCACGTGAAATCACACGGTGTGATTCACACAATCTCAGCTAATGTGGACTAGCAACCAACTCACAAAAAACCTAACACTATGTAGTATGTAGTGTCAAGTGTACGGTCTATAGTATATACCGGACACTATAGCTACAACTGGCAAACTATATCGGGTATACCACACGTACTAACTGCACGAGAAATAACAACAGATGAAAGGCGAGAATGGCGAGAAAAGCAAGCTCAACGCAAATCGTTTGTATAGACACCGTGGATCAGAGCTGGGGTCCCATTTACAAGAGAAGCACAGCATTTCGCTGTAACATTCCTCCTCGGCATCTGAATGATAACAATTGAGCAAGACGCAACGCGAAATGGATTTGTTGGAGAATGGCTTCAGTCTATATCTTTATAACGCGAACAAAAAACTATCCCAGGTAGCATAACAAGGATACAGATGGTGATAATATAACATATTTGCATTGGAAGAATGATTGGGAAAAAATCAGACGGCGACTGAATCCACCTCAGCGCCGTGATCGTCAACAGCGATGAGTGTAATACCACCCTTCGATGAGCTGAGATCGATCTTCGCTATCCAAACGTGATTGAATGTACCTGATGGAGGGGAGCCGGAATCGTGAAGTCGAAATCGTAGAATCGCCGTCAGATTAATCGACTCTTGTTCACATTGCAACATACAATAAATTGTACGATACATAGTAAACCAACACTTCTGCTATGGAAGCTTCTATTCATCTCTTCTGATCTTATTTCAGTCGAAGACGTTCAGCAGCAGCTTCTCCATTGCTGTGAGCAAAGACATCTTCGCGTGTCATCTTACAATGTGTAAGCTATGAATTACGCTCATATGTGATGCCTTGATGAGGTATTCAAAGATCAACCATATGGATAAGACTGTATGCGGTAGAGAATCTCTACAACTGCCATATACCTCGTCATAGCCTTCGACTCTTACGCCCGTGAGCCCCTCCCAAGTCGCAGTGCATAAACTCCGCCTACCTATATGGCTGGACCTCCTCGAGGTCGTTATTGAATCAGAACACTTTGCTGGAGCACTAGTGTACTAACATGCATTGAATCAACGCCGTTGATGATATTACGAATCACAACTATAAATGCATTGTACTGTACTCAGTACATGATATTAGCAAAATGTGAAGAGGCGGCGTTTTAGCATGATGTGAAGAGGCGAAGCTTTAGCATAATGCTAAAACTACGCCTCTGCACATTATCCGGGGATTATGTCATGCAGCGTGGTTATAATACTCATGCTCCGTAACTACGTTCATCATGTGATGCGGGAACTCTGATATAGTTCTATGCACTATACCAACCACCGAGGAGTACATCAAGCATTTGTGCATGAAAATACGAAGGAACCTACCTAGCTTTGCGAAACGTTCATCTTCCCGAGCAAGAGCGTCTTCAGGCGGGCTGTCATTGGGAGAAACTCCCCATTTCCCATCACCCACGAATCTGATACAATAAATACGCATATAGAATACGAAAACCATGACGGACAAATTCTGGCAACGAAACGATTACACCAGCCTTACACGGTGCTGAATCCCTCGGCTTCCCCGACTTTGCCGTTTCTCAATGGGAGTGAACGCTTGAACGCATGCACATGATGCTCGAACGCCACCGTAATGTTGATTCTGACACACAAGGCGAGAATACACCCATGAAGTACTCCAAGACAAGTCTATTATGGGAGGAGTCCTCGCCGAGGATGGTTCACGATGCTAAATGCGCACGCAAATCGCATGCGAGAATCTCAATGATTATCTCACGATGAGGTGATAGTGGAGAAGATACTCGAATGAACATAATTGAAACATTCGCGGAGAGAGTGCGTACTTAGTAAAAAGTTCCTTCTCCCAAATGTCGCGCAGTCGACTGCCCTGTGCCCATATAGCTGGATCCGATAGGCTCGGATACATCGGCATCTGAATGAGAGGAGAAGCACTCCGTGATCTATTCCAGGTTAACATTTCTCATTTTAGTCGAAAAATTTCACTCGAATGCTTTTTATACTAGAGAAATTTTGACCATTCACGAGCCTCCTAATTCAACGGAGGGGAATACAGTGTAGCCACTTTGTGATCCGAGCTGTAGGTCAGAAGGCTCCTGAATCTAGGTAACCAATCACAAAGTGATACTATAGTCGGATCTCGAATTCTCACATGCACTATGGTACATTCGAAATCCGACTACGGTCGTCGACTTAACACAAAATGGCAGATTATATTATAGATTTGAGTTCTCGTCAATCGGGAATGCAAAATCCTCAGGCAACTTACCCGTTTTCTAGGAAATTCACACGACTTTGGGGCGTTAATTTCTCGCTCGCAATCGCATACAAGTAACGATTTCGAATATGGCCGTCATGCTGTAGTATTCGATCACTCATCACTGTACCTTAGCCTCGTTAAAAACTTAGCCCGCAACACTACTAAGTTGACGCAAAATACTGAATTCATAAACTATTTTTCGAAGAAAAAACGCTCCTGGTAAGTCCTGACGAGCAGACGAGTGATCCTCGGTCGCCCAGCAGCTCACATGATACACCGCTAGATGCCGAGCTTGCCGTCCAGGAGCAGTTTCGATACCGTCAAGTTGTGCTGATACCCATCGCGCTGTATTCAACGCTGGCTCACCATAGTCCGAATCGAGTGCCCATAGGACTGTGGAGTGACCGAGGACGTGTACCTAGGAGCTGGAGCCTTCAGCGATGCAGTCAGTGGCAATGCTCTATTGCTAGAGAGTCATCGCTTTCAACTGTTGAGTTCATTCGAGGAACCCGCACGTCACACTCATCGACTCGAAAACTCACATGATTATTGGATCGGTCGCATATCTCTGGCACTCGTCCATTAACCACTTCAAATGCAAAATAGCCGTAGTAAAGCGGTCGAATTCGTCGCATAGTGTTCCTGAATATTCGAAACTTGCCAAATACGCCTGCCTAAATCACTTACATATCGCAATCTTGGGAGCTGTATCGGACGTCTCTTGGCTTCGCCTACAAAAAAAACACATCGTACACATTAAAAAATTCGTTTGTCACTAGATGAAACGAATTCATGATCTTCATATATACAGTGTCTTCGCATTCGTTAGGCAATTCGGTCGGACCGGAGTGAAACCTCAATAAATATAACGAACATTTCTTCTCAATCGAGTCGCAGAAAACACCATGATTTTTTCGTCAAGCAGAGCTTGAGTACTGAATTCCCTCAACGTAAGCGTAAAAACAATTTGTTTTAAACAAATATGCTTGATCACAGCTGTCAGAGGAGCGGAATCGACTCTATACGAATGATGAAGTGAATATCGATATCAGTATGTCAACTCTTACATTAACGCCGAGATCATGGTTGCCAGTAGTGAAGATTAACGGTATCATGTAACCTTGATCATCATCATCATCATCATTGTCGTCTTTTAACGGGTCCTTCGGTTTCACACGTATCTTATCCCAATTCGACAGAAACTTATCCCAGATGCAAGCACACCCAATCAGCGAATTGTCGTAGCTCACATCGCCGGCAAAAACCTGACAAGAATCTTCTGAAAAAAGGCGGAGCGATGCATTTTTCACGTTTCTTACCCCGACATACGGATCGTATTTAGTTAACTGTTCGCTCACTTGCTGACCCAATTCGTTGGCACCAGCGTCACCTCCAACAGCGATAGTCACTTCTCCTGATAAGGAAAAACTCGCTCGCCATGAACTCGCGCCCTCTTTCTTGAACGGATTTAAAGGTCTCGATCGACGCAACTACACCCCTCCACATATTCTTAGCATACATGGTGTGCAGCTCATGATTCATCAATGAAGTCGAGTTTCACCCTGATATTTGAATATGATAGCTTTAGTAACACTATCACTAACCCGGCAAGGTATATGCAGTGTTGGAGGATCATATGGTCACTATAGCGTACAGAAACCAGTGAGAGTTCCTCACGACTCCCATATTTTCCACCAACACACGTAATTGACCATGTGCTTATTCTCCCACACTGACTATATCCAAATCACATGGAGCAACGAGGAGCATGAATGTCTCTGAGACGACTTCGACTAAAGGTTCCGTGATGACCAAGAACAGCTGAAGTTCCGACGAGGAAATAGATCCTCCTGTGTTCCCTAGCGACTTCCAAATGAGAGGTGAGAAAGGAAGTCAATGATGCTTAGGAGTAATGATGGATTTCCACGAGCTGTTCGAAAACGATTATGGAGAGATCTTATCGTGTTGACATATGCACTGTCCCAATACAGCTACATAGCCTTGTCCCATAGCTAACGTATTGCTATCAACTCCTCTATATATAGCTACATTTTCTTAACTAGTTGTTGAGTGAAATAATGCACAGTCGAAAGCAAGAGATCAGCTCACGTTGAAAACCTACCACTCAGTGGGACCGTCCGAAATCTTCTAACATCACTGACGATTTCATCATCAGCGCTTATCCAGAATTCCACGATAGCTCCTGGAGACAAGCCGTATACGTAGGCCGCATAAACGTCTCGCGAGTAATCACCAGGGACCTGAGCGCGATACATGACTGATGGCAACAACGACTACCTAGAAGCTCCTAAGAGCAACCATCACTTTGACATTTCAGGGCTACTGTAACGCAGCGCTAGAGAACTCGTAAACTCTCACTCTGTAAAGGCAAACAAACAATGAAACACAGTAAGCTGTTCACACATGATATTGCGCTAAAACACGGTTTACCCCAAGCGACACTGCGCGCGACATGGAGCAAGAGAAACTTCAAAAACTGAGGTATTCGATGAATGTGTTTCCACGATTCAACCTACTGTGAAGCGCTGAGGAACAACCTCTTGTTTGCGCTGATCTCCGCTCTCTCGGTACACGAACACGACTTTCCTCGACTCATCCGCAGGAAAGTGTGCCTGCGATTCGTATGAACAGTAGTCAGCAGATGAAACAGAAAATAAATAGGGCATAACCTAGCTCAGCTGGGGAGCTACCGAACATATGAATAGACTTCATTTTATTTCCGTCTTGGACCACTGTTGAGCCCCGAAGTACTACTAACCAGTTCGAAGAGTATTCTCACGGAGCACTGCAGACTAGTCAGAAGTGAAAAACCCGTATGGATTCACGCCAACATATAGGGAAATTTTCATTGTATATGTCATTATTATCATCCGACATGCCCAGAAAATATGTTGATGATTTGAGTGATCTGTTCATAGACTATGACATCGCATCTTCCTGGCACTGTAGGGTTAGGTATAATGCCACGAGGTGATATGCGAATGTCTGTATCGGTGTTGTGATATATACTCGTTTTCCTCACCTGTTTCTCCAATTACTGAACTGTACTTACAAATTCGAGTAGTACAGAAACCAAAAAACATACCCTAGAATTTCCTCCTATATATCAACGACATAAAAACGAACCACATTGACCTATATAGAGGGCAAGAGGAATCGATATGTATTGAGCTACTCGGACAAATGAGTTTTCCCAAGTCAGAATGACATGACAAACTTATTGGTTTGGAACTATCATGTTCGACGGGGCTAATATATTGTTAATGTATGGTGGCAAATTCCCAGAGACTAATCTCAAGTTCTGAAGGGGAGGTCTTACATTGATGATGACTTCACTAGAAAGATTCTTAGCAGCAGTAAGATATATCTGGCAAGGTGCACGTGTACTTCCATGTTCGCATGGACGATGACTCAGTGTGAGAGCCCTGGTGAGCCGAGACGACCATTGGAAATTCGACGGCCATGCTACCTGAGAGAAAGGCAACTCGAGAATACATGGTTCCCTTTGTTGTTCCATATGCACTATTGAAAGATGTGTTATCACAGCAGACACTTCCGTGAATATTCGCTTAATCTGATTGATTCATTTCCACTAGCCCTCAAGGCGCTGTTCCCGAATGCCAAAAGTACCCCCCCCGTTGACGAATTAAATTCTCGTATATTCTCAGGAAGAGAAGCCGTCGAGACTGCGGCCAAGAAGGAAGAAGGCCCTCCAAAACCTCCCCAATGGAGAGTCCCCAGCAGTAGATGGCGTGAAGCCGGCGCCTTTGAGTAGACGCGCGTGGCTATGTACCATGCATTACTCGTTATAAAGTCTCAATCGAATGCGAACTAAACGTCACAAGAGCCCGCGAGAAGTAGCTTGGGCTGAAACCTTTTCTTCGGAGTCACGATTTTCGATGATGTTCGATAGTCAGATGCTCACCGGAGTTCCTCCAAGTACAACTCCAATACCATGATCGACTGTTGCGAATATCGCAATACAGGAACGCTGCAAGCCATAGGCCATCACCTGGCAACCCATCAGAATGACAATCATGTAATAAGCTCTGATTTAGTACCCCAGCTATGAGGAAGGAGGCGAATAAGCATCTAGTGATTTGCATGAAGTTGCCCATTCTGAATTTAGTCGCGAAGAACTGAAAACTCACACTCACTGAAAACACTCGAACGTTCGAGTAGCTGCTATACACTCACTATCGGTATCGCCCCAAGAGTAGAACTAAGGAAAACTTGGCTATGGTAGGTCCACATGGTAGGCAATTGTATGATGTAACTGCACTATAAGTGAGGACTCGATCTTCGCTAATGCTCACCATGCTGCAAGCGCGGCCTGCCACTTCAATAGGCTCTCCAAAGCCGTCAGCCAACTTTCACCTAGTTGTAAAACCTTAGGTATTATCGCTATAAAGAGGTGAATAAGAAGCATGCCTCCTAGACATAACCTAAGACAATGACTCTTTCTTCGCTTGTCTCCTCAGCCTATATAAGCTCGGCACTATATCATTATAATACACGAGGTGTACCGCTATAAGTGTAGAGACATGAACAATGCCTCTTTCTTCGCTTGCCTGCTCAGCCTATATAAGCTCGGCACTATATCATCATAATACAAGAGGTGTACCGCTATAAGTGTAGAGACATGAACAATGCCCCTTTCTTCGCTTGTCTCCTCAGCCTATGTAAGCTCGCCACTATATCATCATAATACAAGAGGTGTACCGCTATAAGTGTAGAGACATGAACAACGCCTCTTTCTTCGCTTGTCTGCTCAGCCTATAAGCTCGCCACTATATCATCATAATGCACGAGTTGTACCGCTATGAGTGTAGAGACATGAACAATGCCTCTTTCTTCGCTTGTCTCCTCAGCCTATATAAGCTCGCCACTATATCATCATAATGCACGAGTTGTACCGCTATGAGTGTAGAGACATGAGCACCGCCTCTTTCTTCGCTTGTCTCCTCAGCCTATATAAGCTCGCCACTATATCATCATAATACACGAGTTGTACCGCTATGAGTGTAGAGACATGAACAATGCCTCTTTCTTCGCTTGTCTCCTCAGCCTATATAAGCTCGCCACTATATCATCATAATGCACGAGTTGTACCGCTATGAGTGTAGAGACATGAGCACCGCCTCTTTCTTCGCTTGTCTCCTCAGCCTATATAAGCTCGCCACTATATCATCATAATACACGAGTTGTACCGCTATGAGTGTAGAGACATGAACAATGACTCTTGTTCATGACACTTAACGATAACTAAGGTCGCGGTAGATGGGGCCGCTATGCCAGTGGAGCGTACTATTCTGGAATCAATTTGGCCAATGGGGCCGCTATGCCAGTGGAGCGTACTATTCAGGAATCTATTTGGCCAATGGGGTCGCTATGACAGTAGACTATATGATTCGAGAATATATTTGGCAAATGGGGCCGCTATGCCAGCGGATAAGATCATTCAGGGATATGTTACGCGAGCGAGTGTAATGCACCTATCAGAAGTCTATCTAACGAATGGGGCCGCTATGCAAGTGTAATGCACCTATCAGAAGTCTATCTAACGAATGGGGCCGCTATGCCCGAGGATGCCTCATTCTTTGACTACTTCATTGAGGAACGTTAGTCTAGTGGTGCGCTTTAGATAGAAATTTTAACGTCAAGAGCTAAGACCAGTTTCACGAAACAATTTTGATCACAGGGAGTCTAGGGCGAGATCTAGCAAGGCTTGAAGCCAGACGAGTTTTTCGTGACGAACATCGGTCCATTGAACTTACAGTAGCTGTTTGGAGCTCGATCCAATAGAAATGACAACGGACCAATACCAAACAATTAATATGCATAGCGACAGGACGCTCAGAACTCCAAGACGGGCATAGTCTGCTGGAGTTGATGAACGACTACTGTCCTCTGTCGGCACAGGAAGGCCCTGACAGTGATGGTACACGGCGACAAAAGTACAGCTGCTGACCCTAGTCACCTCGATCGTAAGGTCACCTTCTTCTGCATCCCCAAGTATCCTAGAGTAGATAACTTCATTTTTGATCCGTCCCAGGAACCTCGTAGTAAGCAGTGCACAGATAACTAGCACCGCTGTAACGAAGGTTTGGGATACTATGAGCGCATCTCGGTAAAACAGCGTGTTGAGGTAAGGCAATGAGCTGAGCATTGCATTGGCTCGGAAAGCTAGAGTGCAAAGTACTGCCCTTGGTCACAACGCAAGCCGTAACGTGACGAATACGATGGAGAACAACCACCAAGTCGAATTGGAATATAAACTTCGCACTGCACAGTGAGCAGGACCATGATCGGATTTATGCCAGCAGTAATATGCCGCTCATATTTCACACGAGCTTAACTGTAACTGCACCTGCATCTTGGACATGCGCGAACAGTTCGTTACTTGCCAAACATCTACTTATCAGCGACTTAGTAGCAGAGTTTAATGAAGAGAAATAATAGTTCTTGAAAGTGCTCACATTGTTCTCGTTGTTGTAGTTGGAATAATGCACCTGAGCAACTAAGGCGCCAAGTTTCATCCAGTCGAATATATATCCGCACACTACTCCTCAAAAAACATAAGCCTATTTCGGTCTTATTCGTAACCTCGCCGCATCGTCTCATTCATGACTGATCTCTACCTTAGGACCTAGCATCCACTCGAGAAGCGATAGTCATAACGCAGTACTTCCACAACTCAACCCGTAACAGATATCACACACATTCAAGCAGCAAACCAAGGTCAGATTCGTTGACCAACATACACGCCCTGAAGAAGTGTGAAATGTTATCATACACTCAACTCTTCTGATTGCACTCATGACCTTCCTAATGTAACTATAGCGGCGGAACAGGTCACACGTGAAAGCACCTTTCACGAGTGTCCTACTGCTTTTCTTAAGCAGTTACTGCAAGTTGCCTTACGTCCATTGCTTCAGTATGAGCTCACGACGACCTGCCGTGGAGCTAGTGAATCTCAATGTTGCTACAAACAGAGCTATCGAGTCAATTCCAACGTAGGGGACGAGACGTGCAAAGATGACTTTTGTGCTCTCTTGCTTCGCTCCGCTAAGAATGTTTGCATGTTGTGAATTTTCGACTACACGATTCGTGCAGTCGAAAATTCGCGGGTGTTCACCTCTCCTGAATTTCAGTAGCGCTCCCAGGATTGAATTTAACGAGTTCGATACGATCCTGAGAGCGCTCTTGAAACTCAGGAGAGATCTATCGAACAGGCGGTTCACATCGTTCGTGTAACACGAACGATATGTCTATCTCACTGCAACTCCTAAGTAGACTTTGATCAGTTAAGTATCGACATCTAGATGTAGCTGGTTCTTTTGTGACTAGGGCAGGTGCGGCTATGTACCACGTATCACTCGCTATAAAAGAAAGTGTCAATCGACCAGGCCAGTGGCAAGGAGTACGGCTGATAATATCAGCATATGTTCTCCAGTGGGAACATGGATTACGATGATTATTAGTCATCGTCTCACGCGCTTCAGTGGCTGTGAACGAGTAAGAGCATTCAAACTGGCCAAGCATGTTTCTCGCGAAAAGAAATGCAGAAATTCCCACAAGATTTCCCATTTCAGTACTACCCGAGAAAAGGATCATTCTGAAGTGCATTTCAGAGGGAGTTAACTGAGCCATACCACTGCTGTTCATCACTCCATGACTGTTGTTGGAGCATTTATGGTCTCATTTATTCCTATGTTTTGCATTGCTGTATTACTGTCCACTCTATGTAGGTTCTAAGCTCAGTAGTTGACTACCAAACGCCGTCGTTTCGGCTCTACCTTTCCGGTTCGCTCAAGTGCTGGTGAAAATTCCACGTTAATGCAAGCATGGCAAACACATGCGGGTACGATAATTTCTCAAAATTTCCTCAGAATCTTCGTATAGTAATTGTGCATGTGTATATTCTCCCACACTGTAATTAGACGTGGGCCTTCGCGCGATTAGAGAAATCAGTCTTGTCGCACTCAGTGTTGAGCTTTCCAATGCGAGCCGATACGGATTACATCAATGGGAGTTCTCCTTCCTTGAAGAGAACCACAACAATGAGTACGTTCACAATTACCTTTGAACACGATTCATTCAGGATCACATAGAAGCTCATATTCCCCCAGCAGATCGCGTTATGTCGCATCCTTTCCCAGCACAGAAAACGATCAGAGTCCCTTGAATCGATCCTGGGCTGCTGGCCAAGTACGAACTACTCTTGACGACTAGGCAACTCAAGGCTATGGTTAATGCAATCAAGAGATTCTATTTACAATCGTATTCACAAAATCATCAAATAACTTCAAGCTAAAGCTAAGATTCGATAGTTGTGGACTCTACTCTATGTTGTTTCAACTTATTGACTGCTGATTTCAGCAAGCGTCGCGTCAAACCTTGTCTGCTTCTCCCGAGATCGAGAATAGTATAGCAGAACTTTCCATGCAGTACCAAAACCTAAGTGGACAGCTTGAGAGGCTCTTCAAGGTCAGTTTGTTTGGCGTGTCGTTAAATTCAGCAAAAAATTGAACTTAAGCCGTTAGAATCTGAACTACATTGATGATACAAGGCGTCATGCAGTTGACCATCAATATAGCTGAGATCCTGAGCCTGTTCTGAACCTCAGAACAGTCTTGAAATTTATGTTTACTCTCCTCAGCTGAGCTCAGGAAATTCCTTGCTCATTCGAGGAGTTGATGCACGAATCTGGTCACCAGATTCTGGTGTGAAATGTACCGATTTTCCCGAAATTTCCTCAAATTTTCTATAATGTCGGCAACACATGTAGTTGAAGATGTGCATATTTTCCTCCCCCCACACTGATTCAGAACTTGGACAGAGAGGTCCAGGAGAGACAAGCAACTGAAGTGAAACTGAGTCGTCATGTGCAACAGCAAGTTGAGGAACTTGTCAACATAGTTAGAGAAAGCGAAACTAAGACTGAACAGGTGAGCAACTGTTCAGTGTATGAGCAACAACTCATGAGAACTACTTGAGCGCCAGCTCCTCTTTATGATGACAACACTTGTCTTAGAGTGCAGTTGGTAAGTTCCGCTCACTTGCAGGACGTGGGACAAGCCCTGAAGGTCCTCCGATCCGATTTGGGTCTGCAAATCAGTGAGAGCACAACCAGGCATCAACAGAAGCTTGAAAAAAAGATCCTGGAGGAGCTCAACAGAGGTGCCCTTCTCCATAGCAATGCTCAACAGTTCGCAGTGTTGGAGGAATATGAGTTCGCTTTCCTCAGCTGCGTTCGGGACTTTCCAAAGCTAATTATAGACGTTATCTCGAGTAGAAGTGTACAGAAACGAAATAGAATATATCATAATTTTCATATTGTCACCAACACATGTGGTTGCCCATGTGCCTATTTTCCCACACCGACAGACGATGGCATTCCGGTTACCCTTCAGCCGTTGAGAAGTGCACCGCTGATTTTGGCGATCGACTCAGCAAGAAGGAGGCCGATATGAACCAACGAATATCAAAAATTGAAAGCTCGATCAGGTTTGATGGCACGTCTGTCATTTTCCTATCCTTTTTATGGTGACCGTAAGGCATCACACGGCGTGTGAGAGGAGCTGTTCACTGTGAAATTCCACTAGTTCGCTTAGAAAACGACATTTACCATTGCATCACACCAGCGTTGTTTCTAGACGATTCTTGATACTTTGATTACTCCCACTGAATTGACTATGGCGATTCAGCAGACTATTTTTCCGATGAGTTAATATCCTTATTCAGGAGAAGCACTGAGAGATTCACCGATGCACTAGACCCCCTGAGAGCAACTCTAAACGACTTGTCATCTCGTCTGGAAGAAACCGAGTCTGCGTCCACACTCACTCGACCAGGGGAAGACCAACTCCTTGCTGGTCGTCTTAAGCAACAGGTCAGCATAGGAAGGATGTCTGTGTGACTTCATTCAACCCATAGGTGCTAACACACGTCGAAGACAGATTGCAACAGCTCAAATCTGAAATCATTGACGAGCTCTCGAGTGGGCCACGGAATTCTTTCACTATCAGATGACATTTTTGTAGGTCGCGAACGATCGGCCCCGCGGGAAGGCGATGTTGAAATGAAACTTAAACTGGAACAAGTCGAAAGGAAGCTCGCAGGTTAGCGAGCGCCTGTGGGGTTATTCGAACGTATCATTTCTACTCAGTGTTGAAGGAATATATATTCGCTCTCCTCAGCCGAGCTCAGGAGTTTCCTCGCTCATTATTGGAGTTCATATACGAATCAGGGCAGGAGTGTTCAGAAATCGACGAAAATCGTCTCAAAATTCTCATGTCTTCCACCGACACATGTGCATCTCATCATGGAAATCTTTCCCACACTATTTCTACTGAGCTCTGAGGGTCTCTCATTGTCATTCTAGAATGCTACACAACGCGAATGAAGTGTCGTATATTGTCATTCCGTAGCTATCAATTTTGACACCCAGCTCGCGTCCCTGCGATCTGAGGCAGAAGACAGTCTGAAAACGATGAACGAGCGAGTCGATGCTCTCCGAGATGAAATTAAATCTAACAGGAAAGATGTAGACACGCATCATGTCGTATGTCATTCGAGTTCGCATATGATCAGACACAGCGCTTGAGAGAATACGTTAATGCAGAAGGGAAGAAAAACCAAGCTGAGATGCATCGCATGGTGAGTTCACCAATACGCAACCGCAGTACTCTCAACCTTGAAAGTGCTGACAAGTTGAAACGTCGAATTTTCTATGAGAGAGTGCAATTCCTTAAACCAATTACTGAGGAGTACGCTTGTGGGGAAGTAATTTCTATGGCGTGCGGTAGGAGCGAGAGCTCTCAAGAGTAGTCGAAGCAAGCATGACCAGCCTGCGTGAACGTCACGATGAGCTACAGGAGTCCTTCACGACCGAGCTTAGAAATGCCATGGACAGCGTAAGCTGACGAATCGATATCGGTCGCTCACGAGCATGTTTAGACACGGAACGAATTGCAAGGCGCTCGAGCGGAAAACAGAGAGACTCTAGAAAAACTCGTCCGTGCCCAGCGAGAGCTGAAGAGTCTCGTGACGCAGAATGCGGAGATGGAGAAAACGCTAGTGAGCGATGTGGTGTCTTCCTGGCTTTCGACTTGATTGCACAGGCGGACTACCAGGAGAAAGTTAATACACTTTCCACGAACAACAGTAAGTTCGTTACAGAACAGATGACCGAATTGGAAGTAAACACTGAGACGAATGAGTCTTCGATTATTTACCTCAGAAACGGACGGCAGATAATCTTGCCGAATCGCGCGGCTCTATGATGCGAGGTTTCGAGTCGGACTTGATGCGCATTGCAGAGGAAGTGAGAGAAACACTCGGCCATTGTTTGACAGTGTTCACATTACAGCTCGACTGCCACGTCAAGAGCGTACAGTCATCAACAGAGGAAAGGATAAAGAACCAGATTGAGTCCATCCAGGGAGAAGTGATGTTGCGGTTTTTTAGATTACACACGAGTTGATGACCCCTCAGATTGATTCGAAATCTGCAGAGACCGCTGACCGTTTACGGCGGATCATGGGGTCCTTGATAGAGCTCAATATGCGTATAGAGAAGCAAGAAGACTTGATGAGCGACCACAAACTGCAGAAGAACATCCGAGGGTCAGCGCTCACCAGAGGAGTCGAGCTGCTCGACTCGGGCAATGCTGTGCTCGCTCAGGCTTGTCGACGAAATTATACGCAGAAGCCTGGACGCTGACAGACTCGAGCACCGTGAGATGATAAGCCAACTTTATAAGAAGATGAACGAAGTTGTAAATGCTATGCATTATCCTAAGTATTACTTACATTCTCGGCTAGAGTTGGGTGTTTGATAGCCAACACTTTCACTGGTTCACTCAGGCACGGCGTATCAGCGTCGACTACACGGGCGATCGGACACTCAAGCTCTCTGATGCATTCACATCGCTCGACTTCCTCTATAACTGTCCCGAGGCACGAGTGGGTATCTCCCGGTATTGACATTCCCACAATATCCGATTCAAGATACTACGACCGTATTCTAGCGCCGGCAGCAGCAACTCAAAAGCAGCTCAGCTCGCTCATGAGAGAGATGAGTCTAGAACGATAATGCCATGACGTCGTGCTAGTGTGTTCGTACTGGATTTTGCTGCAGTGTTGGGTTACAAGTTTCGATATCGGGAACGTTGAACGTGAACAAGGTGAAGCTAAATGGATATACCTCAGTGCAATCCACTTCTCTTGCCGGGGCAGCTATGCCAGGCAGAGGTAAACATCAGACAACCTATTTCTCCGCGCGGGGCAGTTATGCCACCACAAGGTATGCGTCAAGACACCAATCTTCCCGCGCGGCCCAGCTATGCCACCCCAAGGTATGCGTCAATACAACCTCTTCCTCTGCATGGGGTGGCTATGCCATCCCAAGGTATGCGTCAAGACAACCTCTTCCTCTGCATGGGGTGGCTATGCCATCCCAAGGTATGCGTCAAGACAACCTCTTCCTCTGCATGGGGTTGTACTAGTCCCGAGAACTCAACGTCCATTGGAGAGTGACGAAGACTAGTGAGTGTATAGAAACACTGAAATAACATCTATTGATGACGATCTAATAACTCTGGTGTTATAACTCAATAAACTACAATCCTCATGCATCGGATCGGGCTTCTTAGGGAAAAAGCTACGTACTCACGTGAATATCGATCACGCTTTGTACATACGTACTGCCGGGCTTCTTGTTATCTTGAGCACTTCTCAATCATCTTTCGCAGGACTGCGACACTCCCGGCCCAACAGACGACAATAAAATTTGGTTGACGAAGCTGAATATCGACGGGCAACATCTGCATCGACTCGCAGCCACGACTGACACTTGTCACATTGTAGCCAATCTTGCACTTGGACCACAGTGTCCTCGCAAGTACGACTGTGAAAAGGAATCAGAGCATTTACATGCTGCAGACTCGATATATCACGGCCACCTCTTCCTCCGGTCCCTTTAGCATCGATAACCCTTAAGCTCGGACTACGTACTTCCGTAACCTCATAGGGACCAAGGAATTGCAACAAGTGACGACCTTTTGTCGATGGCGAGAACACTAACACTTTAGAGCCCACCGGATATGGTTGAGGATCAGACTTCTTACCAGCCAGTTTCTTGCTGAGGGCTGACTGCTGCAAATCACGACTCATCTGCCAAAATTCGCAATACTCATCATAGCGAAGCTTTGCATCAGCTCTCTCCTGCTTGAACAGCGATCTCAATGACTCAGCCTCATAGTCATTGAGTAACTGTGATACTCCATTTAGGAATCCCTCTACCTCATCCGGGGCTAACGTTGTCCATGGTTTATTGATACGATGACCATAGAATAGATCGGCCCTGGAAAAATCACACCCAACAAAAGGGCATAAATTATAAGACAGAGATATTGATGGCAACCAACGAGGCCACATTGCAACATCATATCCTTGTGACTCGAAAAACATCAACATTTCTCTCACCTTAGCATGGGGTCTTTCAAACCAACCGCAATAGACTTTAACATTAGGAGGCAAGCATGCTACCCTTACATCATGAGTAGCAGCCCACTTACGATAGCGGTCCTTGAGCTGGTTGTTGGAACCGGAAAAGGAGCTGTGAGAGTCAGATACTATCAATAACGGGTAACCGACCTCCCCAGCCAAAGCATCTAAAATTTGTATAGTTTCTTCAATACGAACAGACCGAATCGGTCTAAACCAAGTAAACCCAGTGGCTCCATCGGTAATACTCAATAACCCGATATATTTGTTCTTATCGCAACACGGTTTATCGTCGATTTGACCCACGGGAAGTCCCAGCTGGTGGTCAATACCCCAAATAGCGCCAGGATGAGGCGATTTCATCCGCAGGGCTCCAGCCTGCTTCCTCCATATTAATCGCGCTCGAACTCTTTGACAATCACTGCATGTCGAAATACGAGAAGCCACCGACCTGCGCAAAGCACGCCAATAATACTCATCTAATAACACCTGCGACAGCTTATCACGGCCCAGATGACCACTGCGAAGATGTACATTGTCGATAATTTTGTTAATGAGTATGCTACCACTTGATGGGTCCAGCAATGCTTGTTTGATGATGTCGCCTTCGGTAGAATTCCGTACCGTTCGCAACACGATACCATCTCTCACCTCATACAGTGGTAGCTGTCTCTTCAACACTTCCGAAGGAATAGGGCAACCAGACGGCAAAGGCTTCTTTTCTAGTAGACACCTCAAAGCTGTTATATAGACAGATCGCCTCTGATGGTCTTCCACCTCCTGCCTAAATGCCAAAGCTCCACCAAATGGATGATCTGGTCTGAGTAATTCGACCTCCTCGTCACCAGTGGTGAGCTCATCTATGCTGCATGCGAGACCGAGCAATTCATCATAATCGAAGGTCGTCTTGTCTCCTTCTACCGTCGTCGCGGGTTTATACGAGACCAACGTGCCGCCGCTTCGCCAAATCTGCACCTGCTCCATAGTTATCGACACCGATCCTTCGAGACGACCACGTGACGCTCCATCTGCTAGATTTTGCTCTGAAGCGATGTGAATAACCTCGGCATTTAGTCTGACGCAAACCTCCACTATGTAGTCCAACCAACTCGTCTCTGTTTTACTGAGACGTTTACGTATTGCAGTACTCTTCGACCGACGGAGCCGCCACACCGTTATAGCCGAGTCCACGAAAAAGACAAACCCAGGCCACTCCTCAGTGTTTTCCTCTGCTGTAGGCAACCCAAGGTCCACCTTCTTGTTGGCCGATCGGACCTTCTCGACTAACTGCACCGCCTTGAACAACGCGTACAGTTCTTTTTTCGGGACGCTCCACCTAGTCGATGCTGCCGAAAAAACACCTGCTGACCCCAGATATTTTACCAACGAAGCCTGCTTATCAGTAGACCCATATGGTTCACCAAAGATTTCGCTCGCCCATGCCGAGATACTGGCGTCGGCAAAAACCATCAACTTCTTCGTTGATACGCAACGAGGAATACACCATTGCTGTGACTGTACTTGCTGATACCATTTCTGTAGATCCACCGCATGCTGCTCGCTGATGTTATCCTCCCAGCATTTGACCTCCTGGAAGATCTTCGAAGCATTTAGCCGTGCTGCTATGCTGACATTCGAGAATATACCGAGAGCATCATACCATCGACAGTAATACCCAACTGCTTGTCGTTTAGTGATTGAACGTTGGTTCACGTCCATATTAGGAAGTCGTTGTATGACAGTGTCGGCACCAACATCCCAGATGTACCCAAGATTTTTAACTTGATCTTGATCAGTGATGGAGCTGACTCTCTTCTGCTGTTGGAAGTCGAACCCCTTTGATTTCAGCCGTTGGATGACTTCCTTCTCCCTCCTCTTAGTAGTCAGAATCGTGCTTCCTCTTATCGATATATCATCAACATAAATCGATATATTTCTTCTATCTTCTTTCAGAAGGCCATCCAGAGCAATATGTATGCATTGAAACAGACCCGCTGGAGAGCAGCATAGACCGAACGGAAGTCTAGACCATGTATATGTCGCCCCATATGCGACGAAGGCGAGCCATTCACCCGCTGATGGGTGAAGTTTTACCGCATTGAACGCACGGGTGAGATCAAGGTTGATCACATGTGGCTGTGCGCGCCACGCCATCAGGATCTCACTGATTAGGAGCTGACCATCAACACTCCCAACTCTCAAGTATTGATTTATCTCCCTTCCATCCACCGTGACCCTAGTCGAAGTTGTCGTCGATGTATCTCGGAAGACTGGTCGTAGAGGAGCAAAGTGTCGAACCTTTTGTGGATCAATAGCCTTGATCCACCCTTTTTGGAGCATGTTGTCGAGCTCCTCCTGCACCTTGATATTCTGATCATCGGTAAGAGTTCGCTCTAATGCCTTCGCTCTAGCACAGGCCTGGCCAAAGTTACGTTTCGGCCTCTCTTGGCCCTTCCATGGTAGCGATACCATGTATCTCCCTTCGACAGGGTCTTCAACCACCTCCAAGCTATCAGTGAAGGTTGGTTCCCCTGCAACCGCTTTACGACGAAATTCTCGTAGATCCTCATCACCATCATCATACTCATCTTGTAGGTGGTGAACGAGAGCCTCTTGATCTAGCGATACTCCACACACCAAGCCCATGGTCTCTCGCATGCACTCCTCACTGCTAATATCATGTCCTTGCTGTTGCTGACGCAGATGACCTTGGCCGCTCCTTACCACTGGAGATTGACCAGGCCTCAGAATAATATCGACACTGAGCTTGGAGAGTGCATCGAGACCGAGAATAACAGGTGAGCTCAGGCTCTCAATAACATAATAGCATAATTGAGCAGTTTCTCTGCTCGTAGATGTGATACAGTCTACAGCACCTTTCGCTGTAACTATAGACTTGTCTGCAAGGCATATGCTGCGCTGATGTGGGAGTTGTTGTAGGGTCAAACCCAAACGCGATGCCGTCCCACTTGACATAAGATTTATATTGCAACCTGTATCTATCAGGCTAACCACAGGTGTAGCTGATTCACCATAATGTACCCAAGCGGTCAACGTCGATGGCAGTTTTTGATCAGATTCAGAGCTCGTACCACAGACCGTAACCGTGCATCCCTCATAGAACCCAGCACCTGCTAGTTGTTCTTCTCCATCATCATCATCTAGTACACCATTCGCTGCTGTTCTCTCAGCTGGGATTTCGGATTTCCCACCAGATGGCTGTTGATGTGAAAAGCGACAGCTATCCCCTCTGGAGCAGCTATTCTTCTTCAAGAACTCATAACAGATCCCAACAGCTTTGCCACGGCTCGTTGTGATGGGACCAGTGTCTCCCTGCGCAGTCGGAGTCGATGTCGGCTTTTGCACCTTTTCTTCAGACACAACATCATGCTTGAACTTGCATCGGTCCCCGTACGTACAATGACCTCGAGCGAACTGTCGGCAAGGCACTTCTGTTGCTGCTGGACGTCGCCGTTGTTGACCTTGTGGATTCTCCTTAGGTTTGTCTTTGGGATTTGGTGCACTTTTGGTGAGATCAGTCACCGGAGCTATTCGACGATGGCGATTTTCCCACTCATCACCTCGAAAGCACAACGAAGTGCGAAGGCTCGCCATCTGACGGTCATCTATAAGCTGATCTTGTAGCCCATCACCGAATACTGCGGAACCACTGAGCTGCGTAAGAGACACCATGAACTGTAGTTGAGTCATGTATGTCGCCACCCACTCGCTATAGGGTTCATAGAGTCCATTACGTAGGGCAATAAGTTCGTCTTCATTCGACAAATAGATACCAGCACAGCTCAGGTTCCTCCTCATTCTGGCCGTACGGGTAACAAATTTGCGACAGGTCTCATTCTCTTTACGCCGTAGAGCTGACCATTGGCTTCTGAGAATGTCACGACTGACCAGATTTGAGTATGTCGCTTCCAGGATAGACCATACTCGACGCGCCCGCTTGAGGTAGTCTGTACTCCTCTCCCTATTGTAGTATTCGCTCGACATAGTGTCCGCCACCGAGTCCCAAGCTGTTGGCGATAGGCAGTACCGTGTGAGGAAGAAGTAGGCTACCCCATCATCCCAGCAGTTGTCACGGCAAGCTTCAATAATTTGCCGTTTTAACATCGGCAGTTGAGCTACATCATCACCAGTGAACTTATCGAAGGTGTTTGCTAGTCTGAGGCATTCTTTACGGACCTTCTCAACATAGCTAAACGAGACCGTAGTCTTGCCTCTTCGATCACCTTGACCGGGTTCGCTCCCGTTAGTCTTAGCGTTGGTAATCCTCTCTTTCTTGGCCTCATCAGACTGGTTGTTGATTGGATATTGGCTGGTGACCAAGTCCTCTTCGTCACTGCTGCTGTCACTTGAAGGAGGTACCGGAAAGTCGATGGGGTTAACGGGAGCTGTATTTTGTTGTCGTTGAGAACGGTCTTGACCACCGATAGCAGGTGAAGTTCGATTCCCCAAACCAGGATGGGGTGGCTCTCCTCGGATCCGGGGGCTGCGTCGGATCCCGGTAGAATGTACTAGTCCCGAGAACTCAACGTCCATTGGAGAGTGACGAAGACTAGTGAGTGTATAGAAACACTGAAATAACATCTATTGATGACGATCTAATAACTCTGGTGTTATAACTCAATAAACTACAATCCTCATGCATCGGATCGGGCTTCTTAGGGAAAAAGCTACGTACTCACGTGAATATCGATCACGCTTTGTACATACGTACTGCCGGGCTTCTTGTTATCTTGAGCACTTCTCAATCATCTTTCGCAGGACTGCGACAGGGTGGCTATGCCATCCCAAGGTATGCGTCAATACAACCTCTTCCTCTGCATGGGGTGGCTATGCCATCCCAAGGTATGCGTCAAGACAACCTCTTCCTCTGCATGGGGTGGCTATGCCATCCCAAGGTATGCGTCAAGACAACCTCTTCCTCTGCATGGGGTGGCTATGCCATCCCAAGGTATGCGTCAAGACAACCTCTTCCTCTGCATGGGGCAGTTATGCCACCCCAAGGTATGCGTCAAGACAACATATTTCTCTGCGCCTGGCAGTTATGCCACCCCAAGGTATGCGTCGAGACAACCTATTTCTTCGCGCGGGGCAGTTACGCCACCTCAAGCTATGCATCAATACAACCTGTTTCTCTGCGTGGGGCAGCTATGCCACTCCGAGGTAGGCATCGCGGTTCTATCCACAGAGGGGACATTTTTTGGAGCAATTTAACTCATCGATCATCATGGCGAGCGCAAACGTCATCGAAACGCTATGACCCACAATCGCTCGTTCGGGCTGTTCTCTCATTGAGAAATCTCCAACGACAATACCAAACTGTTGAGCTGAGTGAAGACAAATCCTTTCATGGATTAGGCCTTCCCTAAGATGAATTCTTATAGTCATAGTTACACAGACAGCTCATTGTTCAACTCCAATGATGACAACTTTTTATTGACATTCACTTAGAATGAGCGTTAACGCGCGTTGATATAAAACTTCCTAGCACTGGGCGCTGAGAGACTAGATGTATTTGGTTGATGATGAATCAATTTTATTTCATCACTTTGACCTGATCATATGTGATGATACTCTTTCAGTTCCGCTGACAACCAAACTATCTATACTAGCTGTTAAAACATCATCTCTCCTGTTGATCAAAATGTGAATCACATGCACACTGTCATGAGGGAATAAATAATGAGTGGATAAGGATTCGTGGGAGTACTTGACCTCTACCAGTTTCCGAGTCCAAGTGGTTTCTTCCAGGATCTGCTTGGGAAACCGGTTCTGAAACCTGCTCCCAGTTCAGAATCCATCAACGACGACTTGTCGGCTCGCCGCCGGGATGATGTCATGTTTATCCGTGGTTGTGAACGGTTGCCAGTATATAGTAATGGTTCATAACTATGCTCCGGGAGAGTCTTAATGAAACTCGTGAAGGTCGATCGCCGCATCAGATAGGTAAACCGTGAATACTAGCCATGTTGGATAATTTCGCCTCGAACGGTCTCCTTTAGCCTAGAGGCTCTAGGTCTCTCACTGAGATACAGGTGAGACACTTCTCGCCGTCCTTGTGTGTTCGAGACCAGAGAGGATGGCCCCCGGCATGGTCAGCCAGGCTCTGATGGCGATCCTGAATGTGATGACTAGTGAGGGGCTGGTGGAACTTCCTGGAGAGGACCCTAAGTAGTAGGGAGGGGGCGGGTGTAGCTGTGAGGAGCAGTTCGGGAAAATATGCACATAATCAACTACATGTGTCGGTGACAATATGAGAATTCTGAGAAAGTTTTGGGAGATTCTTGCTGGTTTATCTACACTTCTACCCCATTTCGTATATGAACCCTATGATGAGTGACGAAACCCCTGAGCTCAGCTGAGGAAAGCAAACACATATTCTTCCAACACTGGTGAGGAGTGCCATCTTCAGTGTGGTTGCCTGGCCCTTGGGGACACCTGATCTCATTGAAGACTATGA